TAAATTATGGTCATTGTCAAAATTATATGCAAGATCTGTTTCTTGCATTACTGTTATCCTTTAGTAATCACATTGCCAAAATATTTTGGCGTACAATAGGTACGTGACCAATGACCATTCATGCCATAATAATGACATTATTTTCTTATATCATCTCAAACCTCCTTCTAGAGGTGAGTGTTGTATATCCACTACCACTAGCACGTTCATATTCTTCCAAGAATGAATATCTATTCATAAATCAGATGTTGTCACATTCACATCATGAATTGACCATAATCATCTGTATGTGCTTTACGAAATCTTATGTCAAATCGATGACAAACATTAACTTCATAGAGTGAAGGCTTATTTTGAGAATCCTTATTGTTCTCATTACCACGATAATGACGATTATAATTTCGTCTATTACCACGTCCACATCCATTGATACCTTTATGGTAATAATTTTGTCTTCTTTCAGACTTATTACATATTGCTATCACATTCTCTAAAGGAATGAGAATGGAGCAAATTCAACGGGACGGATTTTCAATTCTATGCCCACAATCATACCTGAATTTGATCATGGCAAGACATAGAAATTTTACCACTTTGGGTGGTTATAATTTCTTTCAAACTCCATTAGAGTTAAAATCAAGATTTATTGTCTTTGCTTGTATTTAAAATCAAATTATAGAATGTCAAGAATCTAAAAGAGAAAAATAAAGTAAGATACTTACCTTAAATCCAGAATTTAATCATGAAGTAAGTTCATGGAACAATTGACAATCATTATGCTCAATCCCAAAGCTTCTACTCAATTGGTTAGAGTCTCGTGCTGATAACGTGTTATGAAACAATAAAAGAAGAAGAATATATAGTATTGCAGAAAAAAGTAGGGAGAGAGAATTCTTATTGCTTTGGGATGAATTACAATGGAATAGAACCATCTATTTATAGGGAGAGAGTGACTTAGCCACTAAGTAATAAACCCTAGAATCTCTCTAAATATAGACATTCACCATAAATAAAATTTTATTTATAACAGACAGTTTCTTTTATTTTTCAAGTTATTATTGTCATTACTAGAATCCCTGTAAAAAGCAACCAAAGATTAGCGACCAAATTTGGTCTGTCAAAAAAAGCGACCAAAGTTGGTCGCCAAACTGCCGAAAATAATAAAAAAAATATTTGAAATACTTTAGCGACCAAAGTTGGACGCTATTTGGACGCAAATTTAGTCAAACTGTTGACTGGACTGGTCAGACTTGTTTGGTCAAAGATATACTGAGATTAGCGACCAATGTTGGTCGCTTAAGCGGGACCCACATAAATTTTTTTAATAATTTTATTATTATTTTATAAAACTTATAAAATATAAATATATATAAATTTAAAACTTGCTATCAAAGTTGGTCGCTAACTGAAGGATAAGTTGATAGCGACCAACATTGATCGCTAAAGCGGGACCCAGTTATTACATCTTAATAAATATATATTTATTTAAAATAAATTATAAAATATAAATAAATATAATTCAAAAGTTAGCTACCAAAGTTGGTCGCTTAACCAATAGAGACCAATGTTGGTCGCAAATGTGGGACCCAGTTCTAACATTTAATAATTTTTATTATTAATTTAAATATTATATAAAATATAAATAAATCTGATTAAAATTTAGTGACCAAACTTGGTCGCTAAATTAAATTCATGTACAGTTAGTGACCAACTTTGGTCGCTAAGTTAAATTCATTTACAGTTAGCGACCAAAGTTGTCTCTATATGGTCAAAATTAAAAATCACTTTTATATTTACTATGTAAATAATATATAGTAAATAATATAAATGTAAGTCGTTAATACTTTTGTAATACAAGGGATGAATAGTACTACGAAGTGGGCGTGTGTGTCTATATATATATATATATATACTTACGCTATATTATGCACTAAGTATAAGTGTATTAGGTAATACCGTATCGAATATAGCTCATATATATATAATATATGTACTTACGCTATATTATGCACTAAGTATAAGTGTATTAGGTAATAGCGTATCGAATATAGCTTATATTCCTACCTATATATATTAAATTGAATTAAAATAAATTAAAGATATAGCGACCAATGTTGGTCGCCATTGTGGTCAAACGGTCAGAAATTGGCGACCAACTTTGGTCGCTATTTTTGTCAAAATAGTCAATACACATTGGATACCAAAATTTGCGACCAACGTTGGTCGCTTTTTTAAAAAACAGAGTGTAAAAAACGGGTTTCCCCTCCCATTCTCTTATTTTCTTCAAAACATTTCCCCAATCCCTCTCTTCTCTCTCTCACTCTCAAACACCCCATCCCCTTCCGTCTCCCTCCAGCAGCGGCGCCACGCTTCCACTGACGCCCGCCGGTGGCAGCTGCTCCACCGCCGTAGTCATCCACTGTCCAGGTAGGTTTCTCTCTCCTTTCTTTGTTTTTTTCGAAATACACTGATTTTGTTTAATTCCTTCTAGATTGATTTGTAAAAATTAATTGTTCTTAGCTAAATTAAATCTATGATAATTGTTAGTAGCTACTAATTTAGTTTTACCTACTAATTTGGGGATGAAATGGTTAGAAGAGAAGAAACCCTAAACTTTTAGGGTTTATGATTTTTTCTTGTGAATTATAACCCGAAATACACTGATTTTGAAATGAATTTTTTGTTAAACTTTTAGGATATGAATTGAACCTTTTAGGATATGAGTTGAACTTTTAGGATATGAAATGAACCTTTAATTCTTTTTAAGAGTCATTTCCATACTTTTGTCGGTGAAATTCATTCTCTAAATCCGAAGAAATATCACNGTCAGAAATTGTTGGTCGCTTATTTGGTCAAATAGTCAATACACATTGGATACCAAAATTTAGTCGACCAACGTTGGTCGCTTTTTTAAAAACTAGAGTGTAAAAACGGGTTTACCCTCCCATTCTCTATTTTCTTCAAACATTTCCCCAATCCCTCCTCTTCTCTCTCTCACTCTCAAACACCCCCTCCCCTTCCGTCTCCCTCCAGCAGCGGCGCCACCGCTTCCACTGACGCCCGCCGGTGGCAGCTGCTCCACCGCCGTAGTCATCCACTGTCCAGGTAGGTTTCTCTCTCCTTTCTTTGTTTTTTTCGAAATACACTGATTTTGTTTAATTTCTTCTAGTTTGATTTGTAAAAATTAATTATTCTTAGCTAAATTAAATCTATGATAATTGTTAGTAGCTACTAATTTAGTTTTACCTACTAATTTGGGTCAGTCAAATTATTGTCTGAATCCGAAGAAATATCACCAACATCCCATTAAGCTTGTACGGATCAGACTTGGAAGAAAGTTGAGAACAAAACTTCCTATAATCTTTGTCATCATAGAGTCTTATGATACCCGTTTTATGGGAACTGCCATGACCGACGGAAAACATTCTATCACCATCAACCTTGTCACTATCAATTAAACTTCTTTTCTTCTTGGAAAATGAAGTAGAGAATTCCTCTATAATCTTTCTTTTATCTACTTAGAAAATGTTAAAATTCCTGCCTACACCATCACTATTTGAAGCACATGTCATTGCATTCTCATCATCATTGTCGCTAACGAGAACAACAATTGATCGAAAGACACACCCTGTCAGCTACTGTATCCAAGTTATTCTCTGTATCCAAGTTCATCCCGAGGATAATCACCAAAGCCACCAGACAACTTTATGATGCCAATGAAGCAAGATCATGAGCTATTCAATAAAACTCGTATTGTAAAGAAGAAGAAAGAGACTGATTCAGAAAGGTGGGTCGAGGGTCGAGCCTCGACTATACATGTACGTTTTTTACTTTTCATTAAGTATTTTTATTTACTTTTATATAAATTTTGAAATACTAATTTAATATAATTTTTCTTATAGGTTCGCTTCACACCTGATGTGGAGGAATTCATACGCAGTCAGCCACCTAATGAGTCGGGCGAGGCAATCCAACATTCGGACGAGGATGTTGAAAGAACACTCCTTGAGTACTTTATATACTTTGAACTAGACAATAGAACTAGCTTTCGAATGGGCTTGTAATAAGCGTTAACTTAGTTTTGTTAGCTTAATGTGTTAGTTCTATTGAACTTTATACTTCGTTGGTTTTAATGTTGTTGTTGTTGTTGTTGTTGTTGTATTTGTTGTTGTGTTATTGTTGGTATTGTTGTTGTTGTTGCTTGTAATAGGGATTTGGTATGCTGGCAGGTGGTGTAGCTGCCAAAACAGGCAGTTTCTCCCAAAATAATACCCAGAAAAGCGACCAACTTTGGTCTCTTTTTGGTCGCTTGTCATTTAAAAAAAATAATTTGACAGGCAATAGCGACCAAAGTTGGTCTCTTTTTACCCAGATTTCTTAAAAAGCGACCAACCTTGGTCGCTATTCCATTAAAAAAAATTAAATTCTTGACATTAGCGACCCACTTTTGGTCGCTTATTTTTAAAAAAAAATTAAAAAAATAGCGACCAACCTTGGTCTCCATTTTCCAGATTTTAAAATATAATATTTGGATTAGAGACCAAAGTTGGTCGCTGTTTTATGAATAATAACAAATCAATAAATAATATATTTTACATTTAGAGACCAACTTTGGTCGACAAATTTATATTATTAAAATAATAAAGCGACCAAAGATGGTCGCTATAGTCAATACCCGGAATATTTGGTCATTTTACCTTAGAGACCAAAGTTGGTCGCTTTGGTCCCTAAAGTGAAGGGACCAGCAATATAGCGATCAGGCATGTTTGGTCGCTTTTGGGCCTATAAGCGACCAACTTTGGTCGCTTTTTGTGGTCGCTTTTTGCCGGATTTTTAGTAGTGTGTGTTTCTAAAACAAAAAGAACCAAGCCAATAATGTTTGAGAAAAGAATATGAGGTGCCAAGCGAGACACCTACGTAGGGGTAGGACCCAAACAGTAATTCCACTTATCTGAATTTGGAGACCACAAAATTGTTGATAAGGTAACAGAAAACAAGAACACAATGGGTATGTACGTACATTTGCTTGCAACTTTTCTGAAACAATGGCTGCTACTACTTCACCTGCACTCTCATCTTCCTTTCTCTCTACAGCAATCCCTGCAACTCATTCTCAGAATCAGCTATTTTTTCTCCCCCTTAATCACAACTTGAAAATCACTAAAAGGGCCTCGTTCAAGATTCAGGCTGCAAAACTTCCTGCCGGAGTATGTTCTTTACTATCTATATAGTTCCTCCGTTTCATTTTATATGATACTACTATTTTCTTAATCTAACACACCCTTTAAGGTTCGGCCCTTTCCCCGGCAGGGCCGTATATACCTTGAACTATGTGGTGTCACGGGACACCGCTTCACCCAAATTTTTTAGTAGATATGTATAGGAAAATAAAAGTATTGGAGATAAATATAGAAAATGACACCGCTTATCATTATACTAATTTACTCATTTGTTCATTTCTTTAAATTGTGACACCGCTTATAAAAAATCTGCATACGCCACTGTTCCCCGAACCTTGCGTGAATAAAGGGCAGTCCGGTGCACTAAGCTCCCGCTATGCGCGGAGTCCAAGGAAGGGCCGGACCACAAGGGTCTACCGTAAGCAATCTTACCCTGTATTTCTGCAATAGGCTATTTTCACGGCTCGATTACCGGACCTTGCGTGGATGTGGGATAATTTGTACATTGGGCTGCCCTCTTTACTATTTTTTTAATATGTTCCAATAAAAATGACATATTTGTAAATTCTTTTCTTTTAATTTTTTATTCTTACTAATAATGACATGAGTTTATAACAATAGAAATATCATCATTCGTTTAAGATTGACCTCCAATTATACATGTCCCTAGCTCTACTAACTACCAGAGGCGAATGCAGTTCAATCGAATTCGGTATTTTTGACACGTAATATAGGTTTATACGTGGAAAGCTACTAAAAAATATTTTAAATTCTTAACCCATAATATTAAAGTTATAACGAGTTCATTACATTAAAAAATTTAAAGAAAATTGATGTGCTTGTAAATTGCACTATATTGCGTAGGTGGAGTTGCCAAAGGAAGTACCAAAATTGAGCAGACCATTTCTGGGATTTACAAGGACAGCGGAGATATGGAACTCTAGAGCTTGTATGATTGGTCTTATTGGAACATTCATTGTGGAACTGGTAACTACATATCTTTATTAGTGTATGTGATTTTAGTTACTGTACTTAACTACTGTATTATGATCTTTGTGGGTTTTTTACTTTTCCTGTTTTCAGATTTTCAACAAAGGAATTCTTCAAATGATTGGCGTAGATATTGGAAAAGGCCTTGATATTCCACTCTAATCGTTGTATATGTTTAATTTCTTCATGCACAGACTCCAATTCTGTTATGTATTCAGTAATGTACGACAGTAATACATTCAATTTTGAAACCTCTTCTAGAATTGATGTGTCTATTGAAAACAGCATAAAGTCTGCATACATAGTATCCTCCCCACACCTCACTATGTGGAATTACCCTGAATTTTTTGTTGTTGTTGTTGCTGCTTCTCCAATTGATGTGGAAAAGCAATTCCGCTACAACCTTAAAGAATAATAAAATCATTCCATATCAAAAAGAAAAGATCAGAATTTTTCTTTGACGTATTCAAAGGCGTATTACCTAGAAGCTTACATAATTCTCAACTTCTAACATTGCAACTCATAAAGAGCATGTTATATCTACAAAAGTATATAGATACATGTTAGTTGTGACCGTAATACATCTCAACTTTCCAAAGAAAACATGTTAAGAAAGGAAACTACAGGACCCGGCTGATTCGAGTATCTATGACCACCACCTTGGTTGATGATTCGGATGGCTCGAGTGCCTCGGCAAGTGACAATCTGCGATTTGTCCAAGCCTTTTCAGCCCACTGCTTCAGTTTTTCGCCTTCTGCTTTTCTATTTTGTTGCACGATAAGCGTCTCTGCATACCCACCTGCACAACAACCAAGCAACTTGATCGAGGGACTAGCATAGAATTGCCATATAATTTAGAGTGTATAGCCAGAGTACATCAAGAAGTCATTTCATGATACTTATCAAAGTAGGTGGCAATCTTGTATAAGAAACAGCAGCAAGCGGAAGGAGAGTGGATAAATGGAAGCTTGCAATCTTATCGACAGTCGACACAACAGATGTGCTCCTTTAAACAGAATCATTTTGCAGAAGAGGCTATCAAACTGTTAAAGCTAATATCAACCCTTCAAGTATGAACAAAACTTCCACCGATCGCTGCAGCAGAATTCTTGATGAATTTTCTGTATCTTTTTTTTTAAATCTTTTGAGTCAACTTAAATAGATCATCCATTCTTGAAAAAGATAGAACTGAAAATCAGGAGGCATCTGTTACTTCGCTCAAAGCACAACGTTCTGGGAACATGCTAACACCTATAATCTATAGCTTGTCTCTTTCAATGAAGACTCAGAAACTAGACTGCCAGAGGGAAGCAGGGGTTCAGGAAAGAGAGACACTTTACCGTAAACGGTAAAGACACAGCTTTTGCTACTACTATAAACTTTGGTCCAGAAGAAAGTCTTGTAATTTGGGTAAAAGAAGATTTTCTTGAAGAGTCAAACAGCTCCACAAAAGATGCGGATAAAAAGTAAATAAGATCCATTATATTTCAGAAACAATGAATACCTCTTGCAAGGGCAAGTATGTCCCTTCTGGACAGTTTTGCTTCAACACCTGTAAAAAAAATCAAATGGTCATCATTCTATCTCTAGTTGACTTCCGCATGATGAAAACCTGAAATTTTTTCATTATTCCTCATACCTTCTATTTCCAAGGGTGGAGCTTTGAGCACTTCAATTGCTCTTCTATAGAGTCCCTGCATTCAAAGAAACCTTTTGAGAGAGTATTCTCACATTCAACTATTAGAATTCTAATACTTAGATCATTCATTAAATCTTTGGATTCAGGTCACTTGAAGCAAACTGTTTCTTAGCGATATATTTTTGAAAGAGCTCTTCAAAATCATTAAAAATATCCTAAACAAGCACCACCTTAATCATATAGGCAATAAACCCAAATTCTGTCCATTGAACCATGTGTCTTAAAAATTGGAAATGCATCCCAAAATCTTCTCCAAGGGTTAAGGTGAATTCGACCCAAGCCAAATAATTGTTAATGGCCTGATGTTGCATAGGTGTTGCAAAGGTAAAAGAGATAAAGGACTAAAGGTACATGGTGTATGGATATTTGTAACGGATTTGAGCATAGACTCATACCTCTTGAATCAAAAGAGAGCTTGACCGTTCCATGGCTGCTTTATGCCGATACATGAGAGCTATGCAGGTCAAAATAATACCTACCTTTGGATGATAATTACCTGCATCACATAAATAAATAAAAAATCATTAAGCATACAAATTATTCCGTCGCTCATGCAACGATAAATTGACGTATCAAACCAAAACACTCTTCTGCTTTCTTCAGTGCTGCAGTCAGTATTTCCTCAGCATCATCAAAATTCCTACAACCAGAAAAGTCAGTGCATGAGGGAAAATAACAGAATTATAAGCATTTACAAGGGAAAGCTACATATAAAGAGATAGGCTCACCCCAAATGAGCCTCAAGCTGTCCTAAAGCACAAGTAGCTCCTAACAAAGTCTCCTCCAAATTCATGTTACAAGCTGATAAGGACTGTGAGTCGGTAAAATCTTTACTTTCTGATACATCGTGCATTGCCTTTTGATATAACTCCCTCACCATTTGGAAATCCCGCTTACAATGAAGGAATTCACCATAAGATAGTGCAACGTTGCCTATACATCACGATATCAGTACATTGTAGAACTATGTCATCCATGATGTCTCACAAGGCAAATCCTTACCAAAGCAACCTTTATCACCCTGAGCTCCTTCAAAGAATGACAGGGCTGAAATGAACCGGCTCAAATTTAAACACCTTAAAAATAAAGGATAACACAGAAAGCAGAGGAAAAAGCTCGACCACTATATATGTCTCACCTGATTCAATGTTACCGCGGACCAACTCCACCAGCCCCTTCAATGCCTTTGCACGAGCTTCCAAAAACTCAGATCCGCCACCACCAATCTCGAGCCTTATGGTTTCCAGCAGTTGTAAGCATATATCTGCAGTTGCTGATGAAGCATCATCCTAAAATGGGAGACAAATTTGCTTATTTCCTTAATATATAAAACTTTAAACTTAAATCGTTTCATGCAGACATCAGAAGTTCAATAGTTCTTACTTGATGCGATTCTAAATAAAGCCCAGCAAGTGCTTCAGAGGCGGCAACTGCAATCATATGCCTAATTGTTACCATGGGAACTCCAAAATATGATTTCTATCAAAAGTTTCCACAAGTTTTTACCTTTAACAGCTAATGATGACAAGCCTAAATCTTGAATTTTCTGGAGCTTCTCAATGGCCTCACCGAAATTTCCTCTAAAATTCCACCCAGAAAGGAGAATAAAATAATTAACTTCAACTTACAAGTGAGTCAAAATTGTAAGCACATAACCCTAGAATTAAGCGTCTGAAACCTTTCAGAAAATAAGGTTGACATGGCAAGCAAAACCAATCCTTTAGCACTCTCATCCAGCTGAGCTGAGTGGCACTGCTCAAGTACCAATTGAGCTTGCGCATATGATTCATCTACGAACCCCGCACGGAAGATCAAAGAAAACTCACAATTACATCAGAGAACCAAACTAAAGACGCAAACTTGATGAGTTGGAAAGTAAAAACACCTGATTTTATAGAAGGCCATTTGTGGCCCACACGGGAAATCAAAGTAGATTCTTATTTTAAACAGAGAATCAAACTCAAGACATGAACTTGATGACTTGGGAAAAGTGAAAGAGCTGATTTTGGAATGAACATCCTCCACTATATGGAAAATTAAACAAAATTCACATTTACAACTATTACATATAGTCGACCGCTCCCAGAGCTTAGCTCAAGTGGCAAAGGTTGAGGGTTTTGTGACTTAGGTCACAAGTTTGAGCTCTGCATCATGTGAACTAAGCCTGGTATTTAAGTAGAGAATGGTAGAGTAGCGAGCACATTATCCCCGAGTTTCAAAGGTTGCGGCTGGTCATAGGCTTGGCCGCAGACGGATTTCTCGGTCTCATATATGGTAGGTTACAAATTTTAGAACCGCTTAGTCCTAGACAAAAGGGTATCACTTGAAAAATCCCGACTTTTGTTTCCATTAGAAAGAAACTCCTCCTAAAGAAATGAATTGACGCCTTTATTAGTCTATACCTATAACAAGTAAGACTAACCAATAAGTCATGAAATGTGTTAATAAGTTGTTAGATAAGAGTGACTTTCCAAAACTTAGAAAAGAGAGAGCTAGGAATTCTTCAGTATTACTAACAATACAAGTCATAAGACTTGGTTTTATCCTAGCAGAGTCTTTCCATAAAATAACTTCGTGCAGGGGAAATTAACTAATCTAAACAGAGCGTTTAGCATTAATCTTCATTTGCTTCTGTCAACTTTCTTTCACCAAACATTACAAAAACACAGAATTAAACCTCAAGAACTGAAAACAGGCAACTAACACCCACATGTAAAATCAAAGCAAAATTCACATTTACAACAATAAAACAAACTCAAGAATCAAATTCATGAGATGGGTATGGTGAAGAAAGACCTGATTTTTGGGTACGGGCAAGGGAAAGAGCATAATTGATCATCTGAAGAGCAACTGGGTTGGTCTTAAAACTACTAGTGTTAACATTGTTGTTGTTAACAGAGAAGAATCTTGGGGGTGGCAGTTGTGATGATTTTGGTGACACGAAAACAGAGCCACCAATTCTTGCAGCTCTACAGAGCTTAGCTCCAATTCTAAGCATAGTAGCTGCTTCTACAAAAACCCTAAGAGGTATTCAAAGGGTTTATCAGATGAAGATAGAGACTATTTTTCAGTAGCTCTTTCTTTCTGAATTTGGGGTTGTCACCATTTTAGGCGGTTTTGCCCTTCAGCTCCAAATTATTCTTTGGAACATATTTTGGAAGAGTAAATAATTTTTTTAAAAACCATGGTATTATTTTCTCTCTTGGAAAAAATGTTTTGTAGTACGTGGATTAAAACATATAATGTTCTCTGTGTTTCTAATAAGTATCTCAAATTTTAGAGTCATACAAATATAGGATATATTTGAAATAATAAATATTTTTTTAACATGCCAATTTATAGCCTATTTAATTAAGCTTCTTTTGGCCAAAAGTACTTTTGTCTCAAGTTTAGGTATTTGGCCAAGTTTTTAGAAGTAAAAAAAGTATTTGGAGTAGAAGCACTAGCAATTTTCGAACAGCAAAAAAAATAATTTTTCCTCAAATATACCTTTTTAAAAAGTCTTTTTGAGAAAAATACACTTAAAAGTATTTTTTTAAAACTTAGTCAAACACTAGTTACTGCTTAATGGAATTTTCTAAAGTAATTAGCTAAATACAAACGGAATCTTACCAAAAGTTTTTTTTTTTTTTTTTGAAAAGCACTTTTCAAAATAAGACAATTTTAGAAGTCTGGCCAAACGGACTGTTATATTCATATGAAGTAGTGAAACAGAGGAAATACTAGCTAGTAACTATATATACATTGGTTTGCAAATAAAAGATTTATAACTTATTATTCTATCGATCGTAAAATGGAGGATAAAGTTGACTAAATAAAGCATTTATAGTTTAATAGAAAAAGTATAGGAATGTGCTTGCACCTATTGTCCTTGGTTCGAAAATTATATACGTATGCATATTTGAAAAGTTCTTGAAGAAAATTCGCATTCATTGTCAATTGTCATGAAGGAATAAGACAAATGGTTTGAAACATCCATGTGTTTAAAATCCTGAATCCGCTAATAATATACTTAAGTGGAAGGATCTATTCTCAAATGCTCTTTTGCTAATATGTTCACTTTTAAGCATGTGGTGTCGAGGTCGATAAATTGAGTAGAAGATTAATAGATAGTCGAGTGCTTTTCTTTTCACTACCAGTAATATTAGTGTAGTCTTGTATTTTCTTATTCGTAGATTCCTATTATTACTTGTTGTTTCTTTCGTTTTGGTTATTTACTATCTTGTTGTTGTTACTGCTTCTTTTTTTCATCTTATCTTGAGCCGAAGGTCTATCGGAAATAGTCTCTCTACCTTTTTAGGTAGGGGTAAGATTTACGTATACGCTATCCTCCCCATACCCCACTTGTGAAATTCCACTGGGCTTGTTGTTGTTCACTATTAAGTCATGTTGAATTAGATTTGAGGAACCATTCTAATCTTTAACGTGAAGTTAAGCGATGGCTTAACACTTAATGCAGCTAAAATTCTCCCTTATAAAGAATAATGATTCTTTATTGTAAGTTTGTAACTTTGTACACAACTTGTCCTTAATATTGTTCAACAAGTTAATCGAGATGATTTAAGCGTCTAATGAGCGAGTCAAGTTGAAAATTGTACACAAGGCACTTAAGCATGCTCCATTACATCTAACCATGTGAAGTATTTATCTCCAAATCTCATTAAGCTCTAGGGGTACAAGTCCTCCCCTTGAAGTAATGCATATATGCCTTTGCTCTAAATAAAGGTAAAAGAATACCTATGACAATTAAAAAAAAACTAAAAGCACTCTTAAAACAGAGTGTTCAGTCTGTACTTTAAAATCCTTAGTTCTCAGAGTTAAGCAGCCACTCCCCATAAACTCAGTACACACTCTCAAAGTGCCAAAATGCTGGTTTTATCTCATCTAGTCAGTATTTCACTCTGTGTATTCCTCTTTCTTGTCAGCACAAGTAATTCTTAGCTCTTAATCCTTTTCTTAGTTTCAAGTCTGCATGCATAATATTTTCTCGACTTATATTACTTTTTGTCATGCGACTGCAGATGGGACACAACTTATTCTAGTTAACAACTGCAGAAGAAGCATATGGCCTGGAATTCTTGGCAATACAGGGAACATGACTCCTAAAGATGGCGGCTTTCATATGAGAAGTGGTGAAGAAGTAGTGTTCGACGTGCCTAAGAAGTGGTCAGGTAGGATATGGGCCAGACAGAATTGCCACTTCGATAGAAATGGCAACGGCTCGTGTGATACTGGCGACTGTGATGGCCAGTTAAAATGCCGGGGGTTAGGAGGTAAGCCCCCGGCTACTGTTGTGGAAATGACACTAGGCTCATTGACTTCGCCCTTGCATTTCTACGATGTGAGCTTAGTCGATGGCTTCAACGTGCCAGTTTCCATGAGACCTGTGGGTGGAGGAATAGGTTGTGGCGTGGCGGAGTGTGATGTTGATCTGAATATATGTTGTCCATCAGCACTAGAAGTGAAGGTTGGTGGAAAAGTGGTAGGGTGCAAGAGTGCTTGCTTGGCTATACAATCAGCCAAGTATTGTTGCACAGGACTGTTTGCAAATCCCAAAACTTGCAAACCAACTATTTTTGCTCATCTTTTTAAGGCCATCTGCCCTAAGGCTTATAGTTATGCATTTGATGAGTCTTCTAGCCTAAACAAATGTAGAGCTTCAAGGTATGTAATTATTTTTTGCCCTCCCAAATGAGGAACTTGAAAATCCATATACAAGTTTTTGTACCTTAGCATAGGCACTATGAGTTCAACTTATGTAATTCAGTCTTAATGAGAAATTAGTTGAAGGCCAATAAACAGCAATATTAGTACTAGTTGAAATTCCCACATGGTGATAAATTGACCCCCCAAAGAGAAAAGAACCAAATCCAACAGTTGATGTTTTAAATGTACTGCCACCAAAAAATACACGCTGAAATTTTCAGTTAAACAACAAATGAAAAGAAGAAAAATTGGACAGATGACACAGAGGAGAAGAAAGGACTATAAATTATCAAGAAAACACTCGGCATCTATCATACAAAGTTATTTGTGGTCACAAGATATGTTCAGACAATGAACTGGTATTGCCTAAACAACATACATTATGCAGAGAAGCGTTTCTATTTTCTTCCCCAGCCACGGCTCCACTGGAGCTATTTTAGGCAGGAGGATCCTGTGCAGAAGGTGGACCTAGGCCTAGCAATAATGGGGCCTGTTTCTTTTCACTACTCGGCTTCGTATCCTCATTCCTATTTGCAGCCCAGGCTCTCAGAGGTGGTTCAAAATGCTTACCAGCCACATCAGGCGGTAATGCATCATCCTCTCCGGGGAGAACAACTAGGCCTTGTTCTCTAAGAGAAGAAGGCTCATTGTAGCAGGTATTCCAGAGGGAATCCACAAGCAGCCGCTCTTCTTTAGCAGCACCAAGATCTTCAGGTGACATAGCGGAAATCCCCTTAATTCGCTCCTGGAGTATTTGCTTGAGTCTTTCATCATCTTCACTTGACGAGCCATCTGCCGCCTGTGCTGTCCTGTCTTGGCCACCAAGATCAAGAAGGCCTCGTAGGGCACCCTCTCGCACCTCTCCATCCTCACTGGAGGCTAGAAACATAAAAAATCGAGGAAATCCTAACTCGGTTACTACAGCACAGTCTGAACGATTTTCATGTAGTAAATAATGGATCAAGTTAAGGGCTTTCCTGGGGAAAAAAACAATACCTATTAGAACGAATACAACAGAGGAAGCTTTTACAGAAAGTAAGCAGTAACTTTATCCGATTCTTTTGATTCTCAAAATATCTGGAACATGAAATTGCAAAATCATACCTTTGAAATCTCACACTCTCGGAACTCAAAGCATCTCTTAGAGTTGCATAACCATTTGCAAGACGAAATGCAGCAATGCCAGGCTTGTTGTGCCTGATTAAAGCTGGAATAAAGGGAAAAGAATAATTGATCAGTGTTATTGCAACACGGATGACATGTCAACTGAAATTAAAGGACTTAATTTACTAATGAATCATTCATCAACAGGAAAAATACCCACATGAGATTGCACCAAGAGCTTTAGTGCGGGCAGTAACATCAGGATCTGAGGTGAAATTTGAGAGAAGAGGTTCTAGGCCGTTAGCTTCCATTACCAGCTGTTGGCTCTTCGGATTGTTCTGAACAATTGTACTTACGACTTCCGCCGCTTTGGCTCTAATGTTTGCATGGGAGTTCTTTAAGTAACTAAGAAGAGGCACCAATCCACCAATTGAGTGCAGATCTGCCAAATTAACAATAAAAGGAGAGAGCATGAGACTAAAACTTCTAATAATGGGAATAGTATTAACTATTGAAATCTCCAAAAAAAATGTCAACGTAGTCAACCGAGTTAAGGAAGCAATATCCCCAATTAGTCATAGGCTTTCTAGTTTAACACAATGCAGCAAAGGATGAGAGCTAAAGTGCTATAGTGGGTTCTTTATTTCATACTCTTTGATACTCTTCAAGCCGTCTTCTTTAAGTGTTTCATTTTTATCCTAGGAAGAAAACCAGTTACCAAGCTCTTAAAGAGGCACCAGAATCAAAAACAACTTAAACTGTAATTTCCACTCTCTTTATGCCCATGCAAACGGCAAACCCCTTGACTGCAGTCATACCAAAGCATCTAAGATACCTCTTTTTTGTCTTTTCGTTTTGTTTACTGTCCTTTTTTCTTCCAGGTTGAATAGAAGTCTCAACCACCTCGTAGGGCACAATGACACGGAGAATATATATATATATATAAAAGAATATTGCAACTACAACAAACAACAAGAAGAAACCCAATGAAATCCCACAAGTGGGGAGGACCCTACCTTTAAGAAGGCACAGAGATTGTTTGCAGTAGACCCTCGGCTTAGGATAAAAGAATATTGCAACTGCTTATATAAACTATCAGAACTAAGCTTACGACGCAAAATAGTGGGACAGAGGATCTTGAGTGATGTATGGTACTATGTAATAGCGTCAGCTTAATGGATCTTGAGTGAGGTATGGTACTGACTACATAATAGTGTCAGCTTGGTCCATTAAGGTTCATTATTTTGCTTTCCAACAAGTACTACAGTGTAGAATGGATAATATCTGGACATCACCAATAAAAACCCCTAGAAACCAGGGATAAACAAGCAGGAAATCAGGTGCGATATCCAAGAGGATTACGTGAACTTCAGGTTTTTATTTGTTTTGGCTATGTGATCAAGCACAAAGGTCTTCGACAGAGATGTACATGAAGTTACATATCTTTACTGAAAACTTATAGTCACATGCATGTTTTCCTTAGATGAGCGGATGAATGTCCTTGAACTAGTCGGAAGTAAAAGATCAGTGCAACATCATTACTGCTATTTTAAGAGACTTCATCAGTCAAAGAAAAAACCGAAGTAGAATGAAAGGTTTAAACAGGCCCATCATGCATACTGCAAAGTAGCTACTCTACAGAAATACAGGATGCTTGTCAGGCCATATTTCAGAAAACAGAAAAAATTTACAGGCTTGGCTCCTAGATGAACACATGATATGCACCACCTTTGTGTATCAGCAAAGGACAGGTCAGTAAAAGAATGGAATCATATAACCAATAAAGTTACTCCTTGATTAGGCACTTTTTTTTGTTTTTTAATTACCAATGGATAGTGGGGCACGGTTCTAAACTCGGTAATAATGGGTACACCAATCTACCATCATCTACTTAAATGCAGGCTTTTTTATGCCGTAGAGTTCAAACATGTGACGTGCAACATTAGAAATTTCGACTAGACCTTCACAATATTATTAAGAAAATGAACCTTGTGCGTAACTCAACTCTAAAAGCTAGTTCATAAGGCGAGAATTGCGCAAGATCATATAAGGAAAAGAGAGCTAATTCTCTCACCCAATGTTTTAAAAGGCGTTTTCGGGGCGAGGCGCACCAAAAACGCCCCGAGGCGACAGTGTGGGGCGAAAGTCTCGAGGCGTACGCCCAGCAATTCGAGGCGTACACCCGGGCGTTCGGGGCGTGTTTTTATAATGAGGCGTAAGCCAGAGACTTTTTCAAATTAAAACAAAATTTGTTGAATAAGTCCTTCATATAATACCCAAATTCTCAAAAGCCAGCTTGTAATTACTCAAAAGTTTTAAAAAGGAACTGAATGTATTAAATTAAAAAGTCAATGCCTTTTTTTATTGATTGAAGCCCTAATTCATGGTCTTTCCCAATTCTTTATCTTGTCCGCTAGTCTGCTAATATCTCCCAAAAGCAACGAATATTCAATTTTTTTTATACAAAGAGAACTACATTCTCCTTCATAGCAGCAAGTTCAAAGTTCAAATTGTAGGTTAGTCATCCTTTTTGTTCCTCCATGTAGAAAACTTTATTCTTTTCGACTCAAGTTACTTGTTTGTGCTTGTAAGTAGTGCATAATAGATTGTTCTGACTAGTTTTTTGTGGGGATGGAGCGCGCGCACGCGCGCGCGCGCACATACACACACACACACACACACACACACACATATATATATATATATATATATATATATATATATATTTCTAGTTTTCTTCGATTTTTTCTGCAATTTTACATGTTTATAAATATTTATTACTGTAATTATACAATTATATAAAATATTAAAAATTAAATATTTATGGGGCTTACACCCCGTGCCTCGGGGCTTACGCCTATCTGAGGCATATGTAAAATGCCTCGTCTTGCGCCCACGCTTTTTAAAACACTGCTCTCGCCCGATGTGGGACATGCTAACACTCTTCTCGACGACCAAGCTAGACACATGGAGCATGAACATATTAACATGGGGACCTAGCGAAGAATCATATTGGTAAAGCTCTAACACCGTATTAAGAGAATGGACCTTGGGATATCAACACCAAAAGCTAGCCCACCAGATGAGAATTGACCCAAACCATATAAGGAGACAACAACTTATTCCCTTAACTAATGTGGGACATTTTACCAAATATCTCATCAAATTAAATCTTTCACATATCAATCAACTAGGTCTCAATCCCTAGTTAGTTTTAGAATTATGCAAGACGTAATAAAAATCGAATCATGATATGCAACATGTTGCTGAATATCAAAGAACTCACCGTTAGCCATGTCAATCGATTCAACATGTTCTTGTAGCTCATCCAGCATATCTGGAAAAATCACCAGACCAGCAAATAAGACCAAAGGTCACAAAATAGAATACACATTGGCCAAAAACTACATACAAAGGACTCAAAAACCAAGTACCTTCAATATCTTGGGAAGTTACCCCCTGTGATTCCAAGACCTGCTCTGGAGCCTGCATGACAAGAGTAATCTCCTTCATTCTCTTTACTACATCAACAGTTTGAGCTTGCATAGCCTCCATAAACCACCTCCTATCCTCCTCACTGGTAAGCCAATAAACCCATCAACCATAAATTTCAATCCCAAACCAAACTCCCACATAAAAGAACAATAAAAAAAACAGAAACTTTATTTAAATTACAACATCAATCGACCACGCCTCAATCCAAAAACTAAGTTGTCCACTATATGAATCCTCTTTTATCCATTATACTCATATCTATACTATTTTCAGCTGCTCCTCCACCTACAACAACCCTCCTCTTTTATCTTGGCATAAAACTGGCTTGGCTTTGCAAATAACTACCCTTCTTCACGACTTCACTTATATACCAGGTTTTGTCTACAGCACTGGTTTGAACCTATGACGTGCGCCTAATAACATAGGTGAAGTTCTTATTCAAATAATTACGACAAAAGAAAAAGGAAATTAAATA